CGGCAGCGTGTGGGGCTCACCCCCCGCCCCCTCCCCTCCGCCCCGGCCAGCCGGGCTCTCGCTTTTTAATAATTTGGAGTGTACTGGATGCAAAAATGTTTAAAAAATGAAAAAAAAAAACAGCTTTTTGCCCTTCTGTGAAGAGGTTTGGGGAAGGAGGAGGAAGCGTTTCACCTCTTGCTCATCCTCCAGACAGGCCCTTTTGGGGAAAACCCCGATGCGAGTTATTTGTTGGGTTTTTTTGTTGAAAGCTGATGTCCCCAGGCTGTGTTGGCTTTGGTGGCCCGGGCTGGGCTGGGCTCGGTGGTGCGGGCGCAGGATGGGACCCGCAGGTGCCCCCGGAGCCTGGCTGGGCAGTGGGTACCGGCTCACCCCCGGCTCGCTGCCTCCTGCCCGCGGAGGGTAGAAATACCCATAAAAACCCCCAAAAGGGACCGTGACCCTTCCCGCGGAGCGGCTCCTGCTGGGCGCTGGGCGCGGGCGCCAGGCGCTGCTGCCGGGCAGGGGGATGCCGAGGCCGGGGTGCCCCCGAGGAGTGGGGTCAGCGACGTGAAAGCCAAGTATGGCTTTTTTTTTTCTTTTTTTCTTTCTTTTTTTAATGATTATTTCTACTGTGATAAATTTCATGATCTTTAGAGCTTGTTCTTTAACAAGTTTGGGACTCTGAACAAGCGCAGGGTGCACCGAGAGTCGCTTTGGGAGGCTCCCGCGGCTGCGCGCTGCTTTTCTTTCCTGCTTCGGTTCCCGAATCCGGACGGCGCTTTGCTCAGGGTTTTCTTCCTTCTTTGTATTTCCATTGGGAAAGGCGGAGAGGGTAACCCAACTTTTGGCCATTTGTTTTGTTTTCTTCGATACTTGAAGAGGTTTTTTTTTGCATCGGAGTAACAAAGCTGGCCGGCGCTTCGCCTGCTCCGCTGCGCCTTGCCCTGAGGAAAAAAAAATAAAAACAAAACAAACCCAATACAAAACTCCTGTCAGTAGCATTTGTCTGCCTAGGATACAGTGAACAGAATGCAGATTTAAAATTTTATGCAAAAAAATTGAAGGTGGAAAATATGTACTTCAACAGCAACAATCTTTGTCCACATACAGTGCAGATGAGCACTGATGAATGGATATTGAGCCAACGTGAGTTGTCATACTTCCATGTAAGTCAAAGGTGATAAGCAGAAGAGTCACTTACTCATATCAATGAGAGTCCGTCCTACTGTCCAGCAACATATACACAACACAAAGTGAGGACCCCCCCCCCTCAATCCCCCATCGCCTCCCCAAAAGTTTGAGGCCAACCGGGAGCGGATCCGGGCGCCGGAGATGAGAAGTCGTCCCTTCTGTGTGTGTCTGTGTGCAGAGATATATGTATATTTTAAAGATATTGCAAAGGATTCCTCCTCCTTTTTTGGCACCGGCGGGGGTTTGGTGAGCGGGCCGGCTGGAGGTGGTCATTCCGGACCAAACCCGTGCCCAGAGAGACGGCCGCGGCCGGCGGGGCCACGCGGGGGGGCAGCAGCAGAAGTACTTGAATGGTTTAGGACAGAGAGTCTGAAGAGAGTCAAGTTGCACAGTGAAAATATATATTTTTATACCTAGCACAACTTCCTGTATATTTTTGGGGTTTTTTCTTTCTTTTTTTTTTTCCTTTCTTTTATTTTTATTTTTGTTTTTTAATTTGGGTTTGTTTGTTTTATTAATTATTATTATTAGGAAGGCAAACTTCTAAAATGTGAAGGGCGTTGGGTTTTTCCTTATCTGGTAGATGAGGGCAAGCATTTTGCACTAATGTTTCCTGTGTGTGGAGGATTAATGATACGTTTGAAAATGTTATATGGTAATGATTGTATTCTTCCGAAAAAAAAAAAAAAAAAAAGAAAAAAAAAGTAACCCCTTTAAAATATTGAATGTAAGGTGAGAACAGAGCAGTCCATCGATTGTATGCGGCTTTCCTGAGTGCCTTAGAATTTTTTGATCATTTTTTCCAAGGAAAACAGATTAAGAAGATCAGATCATAACCGACTCCTTCCTCCTCTTTGTTTACGACACTATTTTAAATTATAGAATTTGGGGCTGCTTTATAATGTGAATAGGAAACTGCATTCATCTAGGTCTGATAGTGTAAAATCAAAGCATCAGTATTTATGGTATGTCTGCACCTTTATTCTTATGCTTGACTATTAGCAATATTACATGTATATTATATATCTAAAGTTATACCAAGCACCTTTAAAGAAAACGGAGTGTAAGCATACAAGTTACCTGCAGCTGCCATATAGTGTAGAAGCCAGCCCCTCTCCTCCTCGTTAGCGCCAATTAACACCACCATCCTGAGAGCTGCCGCTTTGCAGAAGGGCTGCATGACCTTCTCCCGCACCGTGGTCCCGCGTCTCGGCGTCCCGCGGGTCCAGCTTTGGCCGGGGGCTCGCGGTGAACCCCCCCGCTGGCCCACGGGCCGGTGACCTTCCCGCGCCGCTGTGGCCGCGGTGACACCGGCAGGAGCTGCCCGCGGAGGGGGCTCGGGAGGAGGGACGGTGCCGGCGATGCCGCGACACCGGCGGTAGATGGGGAGCGGGTCCTTTGTGCCACCTTGATGGTTTAATTTCTTCTAACTGTGGTTTTACCCTAGAAATTCCCCCAGGGGTGGCGGGGAGCCCGGCCGGGG